GCCTTAACACACCTCCTTTATAGACCAGCACACCCATAAGCTCACAAAGTGGCACTAATGGATTTGCTATTTAAACATCGTGATGCAAAACGTGAAAATTACAGTTGTGCTGGTCTGAAAATAGCAACAAATCACGCCAAACATGTCTTGCGCCTTATTGCGAAAAATAGGGTCCTAAGTCTTTCTTCAAACTGTTTTTATCAAGTGTGATTATAAAAAAAATATTAATGCAATTTTACCATTCAAAGCTGGCTTTTTTCACAGACTCTTGCTTGTGTTTAATGTGATTTTTGCATAATAGGTCCCCTTTAGGCTGTAATAGATGTCTGTTAGGCTGTAGTAACTCTCCAGAAACTACTGATCTTTCTGAATGAAATGACTACTTTACATCCAATCAGCTCGCAGTAGAAAAAAAAAAGCCACACCCACTGTTCTTCTCACTTAAAGGGCACATAGTTTACCCCTTTTTTATGATTTAATATTAATTTTATGGTTCTTCTGAGTGTGCCAGTTTAGGTTCAGTTCAACGCACAGTTCAAATGTTTTTATTATAATGTGTTAAAAAGTGTCATGATGGGGGCGTTTACACAGTTTGCTGTTTTAGGGGCGTGTTGCTTCACATGAAAATTAGTTTCGGCTTCCCGCCCAATGTAACAAGGGGGTGGAGCCAAAAGCTCCCACGCTGTGTGTTTGCCACAGACAGGCAGACAGAGAGAGAGAAGCTAAGCTAAGCTAGGATCAGCATTCAGCCTTACATGTACGACTCGAACACAGACCAAGCAGAGATATAGTTGGTTTGTATAGTTTGTATTGTCTCGTGTACAAGTGCCGAGCTTGTATACCGAGACTGATAACCACACAAACTGAATTAACTTTTACTGAGGCACCGAATGCGCCACGACACGGCACACCAGACACTCTCAGTGGCGGGGCAGAAAAATGAAGCGTCCTCGCGCCACGCATTCCAGAACTCCAAACACAAGCCTCCACCAGGGCAAACACAACGGCGCCACGGCCGCCAAGGCACCAAGCCGAAGCTCCTCCGCATGCACCCCGACAGAAACCCACGCCCAGAACGCATGGCAGAGATGTATAGTAACGAAGTAGAACTACTTCACTACTGTACTTAAGTACTAAAAGGCAGTATCTGTACTTTACTGGAGTATTATTTTTTTCTCCTACTTCCACTTTTACTTAAGTACATATTTTCCATGAGTTTAATACTTTTACTCCGATAGATTTTTTATGTGCTGCATCGTTACTCGTTACTAGGGGTGTCAAAATGATCGATATCAGTTCAGTAATAGATCATAAACGGTTATTACGTGATGACGTCATTTATCTCCTATGCGCGATGTCGCAATACTATGGCGGAGGACGGAGGCGCGGTGAGGCGGCACAGCACACAAGCCGCTATTTCACTATTATGGAGAAATGTTGTAAAACTTCGCCTCTGCCTCTCTCTTTCTCACTTTGGACATTTGACCCGCTGGCCTGTTTGTAAGGTAACTTTTCCTCTCTTCTCGGCTGTTAAAGCTGTGGATCCATCCAGACACGATGTGTCTGATGTGCAAGTTTTCTCCACTGTGTCTATTACCTGTGATAATCGCGTATTCTTCCCGCCATGGCTGAACAGCGCTTCATTTCTAAAGCCCTTTCTGTTGAGCAGGTGAAAAGTAACCAATCATAAGACCTCGCCTGTCAGTGCTCAAAAAGCAGGCGGGATAATATTGACATGAGTTTATTAGCTGTAAATGCTCATGCAGTCTTCTGTGCATGAGTTTTGTTTGGTCAAATTAAAGGCACGGTTCATATATCTGACTGCTGTATTAAAGAACGAAATTGTATTACAAAAAATCATTTAACTGTCACACCAAGACAACAGCAATAGAATTTTTTTGATTGCATTTCTCCTAATGTCGCTAATTTAACACAATCAATGCATTTTTTTCTCAACACATCCCATAATTTCTAAAATATCAGCCTCTACCAAATGGTTAAGATGTTGGTTTATGGTAAAAGTACCAGAATTAATAAATATACTACAGAAAATATTAAGTGTAAGACAAATTTAATTAAAAACAATAAAAAAAATTAAACTAAATCATAGCCATAAGCCATGAAATATTTCATATTTTCATTAAACACAGTAATATACACACTTTCCTGTTGTTGTTTTTTTTTTTTTTTTTTTTACAAAAAAATCCAAATCAAGTGAATTAGTGCAACAGGATTTAGTTTGCTTGTTTAGTTTAGTTTCACGAGTGCTTCCAGAAGACAGAACTCCTGTTTATTGTGATATTAACCAATCAAACTTCAAAACTCCCAAAGTGTGAGTGTGTGTTTGTGTGTGTGTGAGTGTGAGTGAGAGTGAATAATGTGTGTAAGAGAGAAACTGTGTGATTGTACCTGTGTGAGTGTAAGAGAGAGTGTATGAGAGTGTAAAAGAGTGTATTTATATGTGTTTGTGTGTGCCCATGTATATGTATAACAACATCGGTATTACACGGATGTTATGAGGAGATGGTGAATTATGTGGATATTATTTATAAAATTTAATCACACTAAATGTTTTTTTTTTTCAGAAAGTAAAACTACACATAATTTCCTGTAAGGTTTGGATTTAGAGGTTGGATTTGGGGTTAGAGCAATCGAAAGTACAGTTTGTAGAGTATAAAAACAATCGTAACCTATGTAATGTCCCCACAATTCACAAAAATGTGTGTGTGTGAGAGAGAGAGAGATAGCGAGAGAACTGTGTGTGTGTGTGTGTGTGTGTGTGAGAGTGTATGAATGTGTGAGAGTGTACATTTAGGTGTGTGCAGGGCAGTGTACGTGTGTGTGTGTGTGTGTGTGTGTATGAGAGAGAGAGAGAGAGAGAGAGAGAGAGAGAGAGTATATATGTGAGTGAACATGCTGAATAATCTCATCAGTGAGAGGATTTTCTGGCAAAAGGGCCTGACGTTGTGAGTTCTTGTACCATATAAACTATTTACAAAGAAAAACAGCATCATAAGCCAAGTTTCTTTTCGTTCTGCTTAATCAAGTGTCCCCAAAAAAGATATTTAAAATAAACAAAACAATATGATGTCTTTTGACTTTGACTTTCTTTAATAACTACATTACACAATACTTGTACTTTTACTTTCAGTACTTGAGTAGTAAATTTTGAAATAAACTACTTGCAATACTTAAGTACTAAAAATGTTGAATACTTTAGTACTTCCACTTAAGTATGGTGCTTAAAGAGCACTTCTACTTCTACTCAAGTCAATTTTTGATAGAGCACTTGTACTTTTACTTAAGTATGGGTCTCTAGTACTTTATACATCTCTGACGCATGGTGCCGTACCACAAAAAAGGTACAAGCAATAATTTCGATTAGAGCGATAATGTGGAGAATATTGATCTTGTGTTGAGCCCAATGAGCCTTTAATCAAAAAATAGAGCAAGGGTGTACCTTCAATGATATCGCTTTGACTTACACACTGAAAATGGCAGACGTGAAACAAGAAACTGAGGATATGATTGTGACGCGAGGCTGTCTATCAATATTGGTGGGTGGGGGGACCGCTCTCCTACGTCAAGTTGCGGTCGGTCTGAAAACCGCTCCAATTGGTCCACCGTTTTTATGTTGTTAAATTGAAAAAAAGAACTGTGTGTGTTTATATCACCCCAATATGACGGTCTATACACTCTATCTCTCTCTCTCTCTCTCTCTCTCTCTCTCTCTCTCTCTCTCTCTATATATATATATATATATATATATATATATATATATATATATATATATATATATATATATATTAAGGGTGTCACGATCCTCTAAATCCTCGATTCGATTACATTTTCGATTCTAAAGTAACGATTCGATTAGATTTTCGATTATGAATAATTAATTAATTTATAACGAATTAATTATTAGTAGCCTACCGTTTAAACTACCTGACTTGCATGGTCTTTGTTTTACCCATAAACAAATCATACAGTAAATTAATAAAGGCAAGATACACACATAATTACAACCTGTCAATCACTTTTTTCTGTGGGACTCGTGAATAGGCAGTGATCTGTGTCATTATAAAGGCATCGGTAAAAAAGGTGCACAACCAACAGGAACCAGCCAACAGTATCTGAGGTGTTCGCTAAAATGACTAAGTACTTGTGTGAAAGTAAAAGATGGAAGCAGTCTACTGACCCGCTGACTGCCTTGACCCGCTGTCTCGAGCGCATGACAATGTGTGTGCGTCTGTATCTGTGTGTGAATGAGTGTGTGTGGTCACGTGATGTGCGTTTTCAGCGGTAGTGAGGAAGGAGGGCTGCTCAGAAATGCTACACGCCAGTGTAGATGTGGATCGTTGTCGTTTTAAAATGCCATTTAAAAACAAAGACAGTGTAAACAGGGCCTGAGAGTGTATTTTTCGCGAGGGGATTTGCAACGGGTGCGGGGCGGAGGATCGCGATGCGCCCATCGTCTATCATCCCAACCGTAATACGTACATAGCAGAGCTTACAAACTGTGTTTTTTTGTTGATAACACGAACGTTGTCAACATAACTAACTGGAAATCCAAAATACTTCCACACCGGCGACTGAAAGAGGAGAGGATTTAAGCTCTGTCGACGGGTCAACTGCGTCTGCAGTTTAACAAGCACTTCAACAAGCATGTTTTTTTCCCGCTTGGCAAGCCAAGCTAACGTGACATGGGGGCGTGGCAGCATCAACGATTCTATTTTTTGATTCGATAATCGAAGTTGAGCATAAATTTCGATTGATTTCGATTAAAAATCGAAATCGTGACACCCCTAATATATATATATATTTACACACGTCTTTCCAAACAGCTTGAAAAGTAGATTTTTCACCATAGGTGCCCTTTAATATTCCATTTCTCTATGAACTGCATCACAATACTAAAAAAAAAAAAAAAAAAAACGATCTCAGCTTCCATTTCATGCAGACTTTAAATTCACATGTGCATTCCTCTGTTTTGGTTGCAGATACGCAGCAGATTTGATGGATGATGCTTTATGTAAAGGTGAAGACCTCCAGAGTAACCGTGCTCTACAGGCGCTGGTAGCCGGACTCAAAGCCTACAGCACTTGGGCCAATGTTGCGTGTTTGCAGGACTGTCGTGAGTGCACAGGTGGCATGGTGAGTGTACATCTAGACACCCATGTCCTGTTGTGTCTAGACTTAATGGTGTCAAATACAAACATCCTGAGATGTCAGAAAATAACTCGCAGTGACATTTTGCGGACGGTCTCCTCTGTGCCAACTACCCACTTACAAAAATGACGAAACTCAGAAGTCAGACTTATTAGCCCTCCTGTTAAACTTGAATTCTTTGAAACTCCCTAATACAGTTTTTCATACACAAATGTAGTATTATAAAGTACTATAAAGTTTTCTAACTGGCGAATGGCATGATCCAGCAGGCCCATGTCATATACAGTACAGATACTTAATAAATAACCCACTATAAATTAAAATAATTAATATGCTTTTTGTTTTCACAAGCTTTGGAGATGTAACATAAATTCCGCTTTTAAATAATAGGTCACCTATAGCTTTCGCCATGAGGCTGTGTTCCAAATGACATCAATGTTTTCAAAGTGCACAGCGAAGGGAGCACAATTGTAAACGAAGATCGCTAAAACTGAACTGCAAAAATAGTTTAAAGGCAAATTACATCTAAGAGAGATGACCTTAATGCTTTTTTACTTTCATAATTCCAGCTTTGAATGTTAGAATGTTCTAAATGAATAGGACATAGAGGGGATAAGTGGGAACACAGCTAGAAACTATGCTTCTAACTACTGCTCCAGAGGTGTAGTTGCGAGTGCTCAAGTTTGCGACGCAGTTTGCGAATGTTTGTTGGAGCGACGGATTTAGGAAACGGCAAATTTACATTTACATTTAGCAGACGCTTTTATCCAAAGCGACTTACAAATGAGGACAAGGAAGCAATTTACACAACTATAAGAGCAACAATGAATAAGTGCTGTAGGCAAGTTTCAGGTATGTAAAGTGTAAGAAGCAAAACATTAGCAATTTTTTTTGCTGTAGTACAGTTAGCGGTGGAGCCAGAGAGGGAATTGCAGATTAGGAAGTGAAGTGGAGACTAAATAGTTGAGTTTTTAGTCGTTTCTTGAAGACAGCGAGTGACTCTGCTGTTCTGATGCAGTTAGGGAGTTCATTCCACCAACTGGGCAGATTGAACGCGAGAGTTCGGAAAAGTGATTTCTTCCCTCTTTGGGATGGAACCACGAGGCGACGTTCATTCACAGAACGCAAGTTTCTGGAGGGCACATACATCTGCAGAAGTGAGAGCAGATAAGAAGGAGCAAAGCCAGAAGTTGCTTTGTAAGCAAACATCAGAGCTTTAAATTTGATGCGAGCAGCAACTGGCAGCCAGTGCAAACGGATGAGCAGCGGAGTGACGTGCTCTTTTAGGTTCATTAAAGACCACTCGTGCTGCTGCGTTCTGAAGCAGCTGAAGAGGTTTGATAGAGTTAGCTGGAAGCCCGGCTAGTAGAGAGTTGCAATAGGCCAGTCTGGAGAGAACAAAAGCTTGAACAAGGAGTTGAGCTGCATGTTCAGATAGGAAGGGTCGGACCAAATCAACAAACTATGTTTGTTACAATGGAACTTGCGACCTCAGTTGGCCAATGATGGTTTTGGGAAACACACTTAAGGTTAGGTTAATTAGGCAAGTTATTGTATAACGATGGTTTGTTCTGTAGAATATCGAAAAAATATATAGCTTAAAGGGGCTAATAATATTGACCTTAAAATGATGTTTAAAAAAATAAAAACTGCTTTTATTCTAGCCAAAATAAAACAAATAAGACATTCTCCAGAATAAAAAAATATCATCAGACATACTGTGAAAAATTCCTTGCTCTCTTAAACACCATTTGGGAAATATTTAAAAAGAAAAAAAATTCTAAGAGGGGCTAATAATTTTAATTTTAACTGTAATATATTTTTTAGTGTGCGCCATGCTTTACATGCTAAATCCTAGCACATTTTAATCTGCATTTTGCATTACTATGCATGCAGTATTTTATGCATTCATTGACTGTTGTTCGAGACATTAAATTATATTCTCAACACACAGTTTCATGCTTGTGTTGATTGTAGCTATTGCTGGTAAATGTTTAAAAGGCATGAAACCACAAGACTGATGTGTGCTGTAGTAAATAGCTCAGAGTATATCTTTGTTTTCACACGTCTGACATTAAATCCTTTTCTTCTCACGCAACACAAATCACACGGTTGGAAAGAAAACGGCACTTGTGCAGACTTTGAGATGGCTTTTTAAAACATGTCCCACTAATATATGGCATAAACAAATGAAATCATAAGGCAAACATTTTACTATGGTAAATCTTAATTGCTAAACCTTAGGACAGTAAATTAGGTAGAATTAGCTTATGTAAACAAATTAACATTTTTACAAGTTTAGTCGAAGAAATGTTGTATGAGCAAAAAATGGCTTTTCATTGAATATTAGCATGATTTTGCTAATGTAATATTTATTTTATACAACATTTACATAAACAACAACAAGTTTATTCTTTTTAATTACATTTTAGACATATATTGTCTGTTTTGATCTATATTTTACCAATGGAAATAGTGAAGTATCAAACTGTAAAAATCAATTTAGGGAGCCAATTTTACCCTTCATGGAAAAAGATTATTAAATGTGGTTACAAAATATTAATTTCTATTTAACATATCAATGTAACTAAAATCATAAAACAATTAAATAAGAGTTGAGATTGAATAAAAAATATAAAACTATTTTCTTGTTTATTCTCATCCTGTACAAAAAATACATTTATAAACAGCTGAAAGACGGATTAAATATATTAAAAATTCAAATACAAAAAATCTAATTATATATATACATACATATATATATATATGTATATGTATGTATATGTATGTTTTTCATACATTTATTATTATTTTGTATTTTTTTTATAAAATTACATTTAAAGCTGTTAAATATCTAATAAAATATATATATAAATATTTTTGCACCTCAATTTATTGTCATGCTGTACAAACAGCTAAACATCAAAGTATATAAAAATATTTTATCATGTAAATTTTTTCATCATGCAAAAGTACAAAAATATTAATCTATAAACAGCTAAAAATCTAACTAAATATATATAAAAATATGTTCTTACTTTCATGTATTTTCATGCTTTACAAAAACAAAATTACATTTAAAGACAGTTATAAAATTAATTAAATGTGTAAATGATATTTTTTCACTTCTATTTATTATCATGCTATATAATTTTTTTTTATTTAAAAACAGCTAAAAATTTAATTAAATATATAAATAATATTTTCTCACTTCTGTTTATTACTGTGCTAAATGATTTAATTAAAAAAGTAGCTAAATATATAATAATAATAATAATAATAATAATATATATATATATATATATATATATATATATATATATATATATATATATATATATATATATATGCATATGTATGTAGTTTATATAACTTCATAAAAGTTTCTCACTTTAACTCATTATGTTGTACAAAAACAAATTGCATTTAAAGCAGCTAAAAATGTTTTTAAATGTATAAAAAAATAGTTTCTCACTTTCGTTTATTATCATCCTGTACAAAAAATACATTTAAAAACAACAAAAAATCTTAATATATATATAAAAAATATTTTCATGCTTCCATTTATTATCATGCTGTACAAAAAATAAATTACATTTAAAAACAGTTAAAAATGATATAAATATATCTAGTAAAATATGTTCTCTCTTTCATTTATTTTCATGCTGTACAAAAACATAAATTACATTTAAAACAGCTAAAAATCTAATAATATACAGTTGAAATCAGATTTTTTTTATATGTTCCAAATAATGTTTAACAGAGCAGGGAAATTTTCACAGTATGTCTGATAATATTTTTTCTTCTGGAGAAAGTCTTATTTGTTTTATTTCGGCTAGAATAAAAGCAGTTTTTAATTTTTTAAACACCATTTTAAGGACAAAATTATTAGCCCCTTTAAGCTATATATATATTTTTTCAATAGTCTACAGAATAAACCACTGTTATACAATAAATTGCCTAATTACCCTAACCTGCCTAGTTAATCTAATTAACCTAGTTAAGCCTTTAAATGTCACTTTAAGCTGTATAGAAGTGTCTTGAAAAACATCAAGTCAAAAAGTATTCATCATGTCATCATGGCAAAGATAAAAATAAATCAGTTATTATTAGTTATTAAAACTATTATGCTTAGAAATGTGTTGAAGAAATCTCTTCGTTAAACAGAAATTGGGGAAAAAATAAACAGGGGAGCCAATAATTCAAGAGGGCTAATAATTCTGACTTCAACTGTGTACATATATATGTATATATATATATTTATTTATAATTATCCTGCAAAAAATCATTTATAAACTGCCAAAAAAAACAGATTAAATATATTTAAAAAATTAGCACTTTCATTTATCATCATGGTGTACAGAAATACATTTTAAAAACAACAAAAAAATCTAATTATATATATATATATATATATATATATATATATATATATATATATATATATATATACAAACATGTAAATATTTTCTCACTTTCATTTATTTTCATGCTTTACAAAAACATAAATTACATTTAAAACAGCTAAAAATCTAATAAAATATATTCAAAAATATTTTCTCACTTCAATTTATTGCCATGCTGTGCAAAAATAAATAAACTAATTTACAATAGATAAACATTTTATTAAATACATAAAGATGTTTCATTACTTTTATTATCATGCTCTACAAAAATACATTTATAAACAGCTAAAAAACAAAATATATATGGAAAAAAATATGTTCTCGCTTCCATTTATTATCATGCTGTACAGAAAATACTAAAAAGCTACAAATCTAATATATATATATATATATATATATATATATATATATATATATTAGGGATGTAACGGTATTGTAAATACCGTCATACCGCAATATTAATTTTTTTCGATATTACCGTAGTCGCATGACTCGGTAAAACTATAGGTCTTCTGAGAAAATTTGCTCAGGCGAATGAAGCGAACGGGAGGTACCGGAAACTACAATTCCCATCAGCCCAGGCTTGGCCATAATCCCTTGCGGTCTGTTGTCGCTACAGATCCAGTAATGCGGAAATGGAGTGTGCTGCTAGAAGCGGGGATCAAAAAGAGTTGGAAAACCCTAAAGCGGGTGTTGTCGCCGCGCGCGTACTGAATAGTGGTGTTGTCGCGCGAGTTCTTATCAGCTGTGTTGTCGTGCGCGTACTGAATAGTGGTGTTGTCGCGCGAGTTCTTATCAGCTGTGTTGTCGTGCGCGTACTGAATAGTGGTGTTGTCGCGCGAGTTCTTATCAGCGGTGTTGTCGCGCGAGTTCTTATCAGCTGTGTTGTCGCACGCGTACTGTAAAGCGGGGACGGAGGGTATGTCGCGTCGCGGGGGCACTTTTGATCATTTTGGAAGGGAACTTTCTATCCAAGACTAAAAAGGGCATGTGCACTGCACAGGTTGAGCCCTGTGTGTGCACGTGCCTGCAAGTTGGGGAATACGACTAATCAGTCATGGGGACTGCAGAAACACAGCACACTGTTCAGATTGATGCAGACATGAGATCTCTATCTCACTCATGGTTTGTCCTCTCAAGTGGGGGAAAGACAATGCACAACGTTACCCACTGCTGTCAACCTGGGCCAAGTCATATCTCTCTGTCCCAGAATCCTCAGTCCCAAAGGAGAGGGTTTTTTTCTGTTGCAGGGGACATTGTAAATGCCCAGAGATACCAGTTTTTACCAGATTATATTTATATGATAATTTTCCTTTAAACCCATCTCTATCTAAGTGAGTGATTAAATGTTGAATGTGATGAGTTTTCAACAATACTAAATTGAAACTTAATTTTTTTACATGGTTTAATATTTTTTTGTTATTAAAATTGAAGTTCCTGTTTCAAAGCTTACAGATAGATGGCTAATTTGTATGTCATTGACACTTTTGGCACTTTTTTGGAGTATTTTCATAAGTTTTGTTTTTTCCTGTAAATGATTCAATAAATACCGTACCGTGACATTCATACCGAGGTATTACCGTACCGTGAAATTCTGATACCGTTACATCCCTAATATATATATATATATATATATATATATATATTCATTCATTCATTTTCTTTTCCGCTTAGTCCCTTTATTAATCTGGGGTCACCATCACAGAATAAACCGCCAGTTTATCCAGCACATGGTTTACACAAAGGATGCCCTTCCAGCCGCAACCCAACACTGGGAAACACCTATACGTTTTTGCATTCACACACATACACTATGGCCTTTAATGTATGTGTATGTGTACTATTTAGCTTATCTAGCTTACCTATAGTGCATGTGTTAGGACTGTGGGGAGACCGGACCACCCAGAGGAAACCCACGCCAACACGGGGAGAACATGCAAACTACTCACAGAAATGCCAGCTGACCCAGCTGGGACTCGAACCAGCGACCTTCTTGCTGTGAGGCGACAGTGCTAACCACTAAGCCACCATGTCTCACCATTAAATACTGTATGTACAAATATTTTCTCGCTTCCCTTTATTATTACGCTGTACAAAAAATACATTGAAAACCAGCTAAAAACCAAATAAAATATATATAGAATAAAAAATTCTCAATTTCATTTATTATCATGCTGGAAGGCACTAAAATAATCTTATTTTAATGACAAATAATCACTATTTCAACTATTATTATAACGGCAGAAGTATATCTCTGTGATTCTAAAATAAAATGAATGCTTAATAGAGGAGTTCAGATCACTTTTGTTCACACAGATGCATCATCAACACTGTACTTTGCTCCATTTATTACATAAAACATCAAGTGTGTGATTTTCCATTAAAAAGCGTCCATAAACGCATCTCATAACATCAGACTGTATTGTGACAGGCTTTATCCCACTGAAACATGACCTGTGGTTGATTTTCCCCCCAGGGCTTCATGATGGAGAACCGTATCCCGTCTCTAAAGTGCGATTCGGACGTCTTTGTCACATTTGAGGGTGACAACATGGTCATGCTTCAGGTATTCATAATCACTACGTAACAAGATGACACAGCACAACTAATGCACTCATAAAACTGGCCAGCAAGTATTGAGGGCAACAAGAAAAAAACTTGGTCACAAGGGTCATGTTTATTACCATCTTTTTTTCCTCAAGGTTGTTATTTGTTTTCCCACTTATTTTGGAGATACTCCCTTAATATAGTCCAATATCACATTTAAATGCCCATGTTCTGACAAAACAAGGCGAGAGTAAACAGAAAAACACTGAGATGTCTACACCATGACTGCTCGGAGGGGGAAAATAGACAAGCGGCGATTCTTTTGCTAAATACAAACTGTGTCCGACAAACTAAATCGAATTAAGTCGATTATGAAGGCATCAGAATAAAGGGGCTCATTTTGATGCTGCCTCACGCTGTCGAACGTGCCAGTGTATCGTGGGACTGCTTATTAAGGTAATTAGGTCGGCTTTGGGATCTATTATATGCTGGTTCATCCATTACATGCGTAAAACGACACGCATGCACACACACACAACATGCGTGGAAACTCGAGCACAACGTCTGCATTCACTGCTCGACTAGGCCTAAAGACATGTATTTTCTGCTGGAATTAGATTATCTCCTTTAGGACCAAAATAAAGTCATGCAGTTGAATCCCTGGAAACAGGCTGATGCTTTTTGTCATTTTAAAACATTCATTTATTCATTTTAGTCCCTTATATATCAGGGGTCGCCACTGCAGAATGAACCGCCAACTATTCCAGCATGTTTTACCAGCCTGATCTCACGAGGAAAGTTTAGTGGCTAATTTGTATGAATTCGTATGAGTTCAGTCGTACGAAAATGTATGATTTTAAAAAGGAGGCGTGGCATCCAACCCCGCCCCTAAACACAACCGTCATTGGGTGATGAGCAAATCATACTAAATTGTAAGAATTAGTTCGTTCTAGGGATGCTTATTTCAGTTAACTTTGCTAACCGACAACCGCAGCTTGTCTATCGAATATTTAACTGGTTACAGGTCAGAATAATATTAAATCATTATTAAATTAAAAAAAAAAAAAAAAAAAAAAAATATATATATATATATATATATATATATATATATATATATATATTGTGTCTATTTTGTGTCTGACACATTAAATATTGCATTTTAAAATGCTGATTTATTTTAACATGCAAAAAATAATAATAACAGAACATAACAATAGAGCATCTTCATGCACCTGCAGTGTTTCCAACAGCATTGAAGAACAGAATAAACTAAATAAAATGAATAAAATAAATAGGCCTGCCCTAAAAATGTTCACTTAAATGATTAATTTAGATTACAAATTGAAAACACTAACTGATCCTTTTTAAGAACCGGCATAGGCTGCTTTTTCCAATCAGCCCATCCGCCAACCTTGAGGCGGATGGGCTACAGCAGCAGAAGACCACACCTGATGCCGCTCCAGTCAGCTAAGAACAGGAAACTGAGGCTACAATTCACACAGACTCACCAAGATTGGACTGGCGACTGACCACTTTCCTCTGTGTTTCCTCTGATGTTGTTTACCGCGTCGGCATCTCCACACACGCTCTTCTTTCTGTCATTAAACCGCGGAGAAGCACCACATTGTCGCAAGTTTAATGATGTACAAATCGGAACGCCTTAATAAATCCGATCTGCCTGTTTACATGACTGTCGCATTGCCACATATCCGATCTATATCTGATTTATTTCCACATATGAAGGAGGCCTGAAACCGATCTCTGAATATCCGAATGCATGCGTTTTTTTCGTGTTTACATGGTCATAGAACAGACCCGATCTGTGTCACATATAAGCACAAAATCGGAATTGGGTCACATTTAACTAGCAGTGTACATGGGCCTAAGGGCCTACTCACACTATGCCATCCGTACCGTGCCCAGGCCCGTTTCCCGGATCGTTTGAGAAGTGTGAGTGCTCTGAATCAGGCTCAAGCATGGTTCACTTGGCCGGCCCTGGCCCGGTTGGAAGAGGTGTGTCTGAGCGCGGTTCACTTTGGCCCGAAACTGAAAGCGAGACGTGACTTTTAAGGGACTGTTTCATATGGATTTATTAATCATTCTTACTGTTCAGTAAAAGCAAACTGCCGTAGTTTATTAAAGACGCAAACCCCTCACTGCACGACAGCTGCACCTTCAGCAGACCTCCTCATTCCTGCAGCACGAGGACTTTATGATTGTTTATGAGCGCCAAAAGTGGCGGATCTGTTCGTCCAAATACCTGACTGCGTGTCCCTGCATCCCTAAGGACTGTTTGGCGACATATTTGACTGCATTTCACTGCATATTAAACGGCTGAAACGATATAACTAGAGAAATCTCCACTGTGCTGCTGAATGAGAGCGAGTGAGATTGCTTCTCACTGAACAGCGCAGCAGCGATGACTTAAGCGTGCCGAGGCCGTTTGTGGTGTGAGTGCGGGCCGTCGTGGGAGACGGGAGGGGGGACAAGCGTGCTTTGGCCCAGTTCGAGGCAACTGTACCTAGTGTGAGTACGGCCTAAGACTCTTCTCAGGACATTTTGTTGAAGCTGGGGATTAATAATATTTTAAATAACATTCAGTTTCTAGCACACACTGTAAAAAAAATGCTGAGTTCTTCTAAATTCCTTCATGTCTTCCCAACACAAATAGATATAGTTAACTGATTTTTTTTTTGACAAATTTAAGTTGATTGAACATAGAACAATTAAGTCGTTACCAATAAAACTTAAGAATTGTGTTGTTTCAACTTATTTTAATAAGTAGTTTAAACAAAATCCCTCCATACCACCTCTATGTATTGTAAGCAGCCACTGTATTCATTTTGTTTTGTATGTACATGTCTGTTATTTATTTCCACTCTCAAACTGTCTTTGCATTTTCTGAACCATGCACTGAAAAAAGAGTTGCATGCAGAACTGTAGCAAACTATTTATTTGTGTTGAATTTAAACAAACAAATTAAGTTTAATAATGTTCTACTTAATTTGTTTGTTTAAATTCAACACAAATAAATAGTTTACAACCACTTAACGTAAAAAAATCGAGTAAATCCAAGAAATTGTCTTTGAATCTTTTTTTCAGTGTGGAAGACCACAGTTTTAGCTAAACATCTCTATTACTAAAATGGCCATTTTAATCGCTCTTTAAATCGCAGCTGTAAACAGGTCTTTGATGTCAGTGACGTCAAATGTTATTGGTTATCACATCGCATTTTGCTGAAAATCTCTTTTTTGTGTGCCACAATGGAGAAAAATCATATAGGCTGGGAACGACATGGGGGTGAGTAAATGATGACTGTTGTTTTTTGATATTTGAGCCACACTTTTCCAACGCTGTGATCTTTTTAAAAACATGCAAGTGCAGCAAGTGTTACACAGCCAGGAACAGCTTGTGCTTAGAAATAACGGCATCTATTCATCCAATACATTAATAATGTGGAGAAGAACAAATAGTGTAGAAACAATTATTACTCAGACATTGGTTTAGGGGTAAATATAAACTAAAATAGCATTTTTTGTAAGATAAACTCTTATAAATGTTCAATTTACTGTAGAATTTTGAAATATTTATTTTACTTTAATAGAGACAGTCATTTGTGATCATTATTATTTAAATATTTGCAGTAGATGTTTTTTTTGTGTGCATGGTTTAAGTTCGCGATTAATATTTATTACATACATATATACACTCACTGGCCACATTATTAGGTACACCTTACTAGAATGAGGTTGGACCCTTTGACCCTTACAACTGCTAGAATACTTTATGGCATAGATTTAACAAGCTACTGGAAATATTCCTCAGAGATTTTGCTCCGTATTGATACGATAGCATCACACAGTTGCTGCAGATTTGTCAGCTGCACATCTATGATGCGAATCTCCCATTCCATCACATCCCAAAGATGCTTTATTGGATTGTGGTTTGGTGACTGTGGAGGCCATTTGAGTACAGTGAACTCATTATCATGTTCAAGAAACCAGTCTGAGATGATTTGTGTTTTATGACATGGCGTGTAATCCTGCTGGAGCCATCAGAAGATAGGTACACTGTGGTCATAAAGGGAGGAACATGATTAGCAACAATACTTAGGTAGGCTGTGGTGTTGACACGATGCCCAACTAATACTAATGGGCCCAAAGTGTGCCAAGAAAATATCCCCACAACATTACACCACCACCATCAGCCTGAACCGCTGATAAAAGGCAGAGTGGTTTCATGCTTTCATTGTTTTGACGCCAAATTCTGACCCTACCATCCAAATGTCGCAGCACAAATGGAGACTCATCAGAGCAGGCAATGTTTCTCCAATCTTCTATTGTCCATTTTTGGTGACCCTGCGGGAATTGCAGCCTCAGTTTCCTGTTCTTAACTGACAGGAGTGGCACCCGGTATGTTCTTCTGCTGCTGTAGCCCATCCGCCTCAAGGTTGGACGTGTTCAGAGATGCTCTTCTGCGGACCTCGGTTGTAACGAGTGCTTATTTGAGTTAATGTTGCCTTTCTATCAGCTGGAACCAGTCGGGCTATTCTCCTCTGACCCCTTGCATCAACAAGTCATTTACGTCCACAGAACTGCCGCTCACTGGATATTTTCTCTTTTTCGGACCATTCTCTGTAAACCCTAGAGATGGTTGTGCGTGAAAATCCCTGTAGATCCGCAGTATCTGAAATACTCAGAGCAGCCCGCCTGGCAACAACAACCATGCCTTGTTTAAAGTCACCTAAATCACCTTTCTTCCCCATTCTGATGCTCGGTTTGAACTGCAGCAGATCGTCTTGACCATGTCTACATGCCTAAATGCATTGAGTTGCTGCCATGTGATTGGCTGATTAGAAATTTGCGTTATTGAGCAATTGGACAGGTGTACCTAATAAATTGGCCGATGAGTGTGTATACACATAAATACACAATATTTAATAAACCCAAAAGCACACACACATTATGGATGCAGTTCTGATGCACTATAGGAAGATGGATGGATGGATGGATGGATGGATGGATGGATGGATGGATGGATAGATAGATAGATAGATAGATAGATAGATAGATAGATAGAATGACAGATAGATAGATAGATAGATAGATAGATAGATAGATAGATAGATAGATAGATAGATAGATAGATAGATAGATAGATAGATAGATAGATATGTGTTTTATGCTGATACTGTAATACTGTGTCTTTGAATAACAGAATTCATAACCTAATTCTCTTTAAGATGTAACCTGCTGCCTTTGACTACTAATTTAACATCATAATGCATCAGCTTTGCCATTTCAAAGCACATTTCAAAAGGTTTCTGACTAAATGTGTGTCATTTGATTAAGCGCTTTAGGCTAACAACAAATGACCAGCCAGTGCTGAAGGTCATAATGGGGCATGTGAAAATAAAGGGTGATGAGTTTTGCAGGACCACAGCTTAAACCAAAGTCACAAGAATCGTGCGAGTCTCTGCCAACCCAAGACTCTCTCTTTATTCCTCTCCCGCTCTCGCGTTCAGATCAGTCACGGGGAATTTACAGCCTAATAAAGTTATTAAGATGTTTTATCGTCACCTGTCATAAGGGAAATTAGCATTTATCTCCAAATTTCATACTCATGACTGGTACACGGTTACGGTTTGGACGATGAGTGTGGGTCACTATGAGAAGCTTGTTTTACAGTATGCAGTGGTGAAGCACTTTCTGTACTGCAGATGTGAAATCAGGAGGTTATTTTGGGTTTCTGGCGCACAAACGTACACAATGATTATGACACAATGAGTCATTGACTTTCTGGGGTTGTGCGTCTGGATTGTGGTGCTTATAATGTGATGTTGTGTTGATAGCGTGATCCCTTGAGGAACGTTAATGACTGGCGGGAAGTCCTGACCATTATGATCACACCTTTACACTAAGGGCTGGGTGGAGTAAACTAGGGTATATACATTACTGTACAGTAGGGCACGAGAGTTACTTTGAGTATGAGTCTGCATTGTGTTCCTGCACTATATGCAAAGTTACATCTACAATACACACTACCGAACATGCGTCACGTCTGATGTACATCATTTTTCATAGTAAGCACTTTTAAATGTGTACTTTATTTTACAGGGGTAAAGACTTACTTTACTGTGCTTTAGGACCACTTAGAGCAGGAGTCACCAAGCTTGTTCCTGGAGGGCCGGTGTCCTGCAGATTTTAGCTCCAACCCTAATCAAACACACCTGAATTAGCTAATCAAGGTGTTACTAGGTATACTTGAAACACCCAGGCAGGTGTGTTGAGGCAAGTTGGAGCTAAACCCTGTAGGACACCGGCCCTTCAGGACCGAGGTTGGTGACCCCTGACTTGGAGAATGTTATTTATTTTTCAAAATGTTCATTTACTCAATTAGTGATACTTAAAGGGCACCTATGGTAAAAAATCTACTTTTCAAGCTGTTTGGACAGATCTGTGTGTTGGTATAGTGTATAGACCGTCATACTGGGGTGATATGAACACACCCAGTCCTTTTTTTTCAATTTAACTACAAAAAAAGGGTCGGCCAATTGGAGCTGTTTTCAAATTGATCGCACCATTACATATATGTGCGATCCCCCCGCCCACCGAATTGATTGACAGCTGCACGTATTAACATGTTCCGGTAGTCGCGTGTATATGTCAACAAGACCAGGCAGACATATGCAAAGCAACCGGGAATAAAAGGTCTGTTCTGTTCGCTAGGATCAGCAATCATCATCAAATGTGATTAAGAGTAAGTTTCACATGTTTAAAGCGTTTTAAAACAGAGTATGTGTGTAATTAATTACAGCGTTTTACTTCAGCTTTACTTCATCAGCACAGCCGCGTGTCCGAACATTTATAAAAGAAGACGCTTCAATCCCGGTTTGTGGAAGTTAAATCAGGTTTATTTTGTACATTAGCATAACAGATATCCACACAGTACTTGAGGTTAGCCTTAACTAGGCTAAGTGCGCTCTGTCTGTCTGCCTGCCTGCGTGTGTGTGTGTGTGTGTTTGTGTGTGTGCGCGCGCGTTAACTTTGTAACGATATTGTGTGTGACTCATCAATGCAACTTCACAATACTGATTAGTAAAGGTTAGTTCTTACTGTAGTATCTCACAAACGCTACGTGAGACCTTCTTCCTTTAAGTCTGTCTGTTGTCTGACGCAGCTGAGGGAGGAGGCATGTAGAAACAGTGGGCGGGAAAGAAAAAGCTTAAAAGCGCAGTACGACAAAACCACCCCCTGCTGGAAATCAGTATAAAACAGCATCTTGTAAAAGGTATAATGAAAAATCTGATGGGTATTTTGATCTGAAACTTTATATACACATTCTAGAGACGCAAAAGACTTATATTAAATCTGAAAAAAAGGGTAATCTAGGTGCCCTTTAAGTGGGTTAAAAAACAACTCTTAAAATAATAGTTGAACCAAAAATCATGTGATCTATTCATTTATAAACTAATTTCAAGAGGATCACGTGCTTAGCTTATATATATATATATACAGTTGAAGTCAGAATTATTAGCCCCCCTGAATTATTAGCGCCCCTGTTTATCTTTTTCACCAATTTCTGTTTAATGGAGGGAAGACTGTTTCAGCATATTTCTAAGCATAATAGTTTTAAAAACTTATTTCTAATAGCTGATTTATTTTATCTTTGCCATGATGACAGTAAATAATATTTTACTAGATGTTTTTCAAGGCACTTCTATACAGCTTAAAGTGACATTTAAAGGCTTAACTAGGTTAATTAGGTTAACTAGGCAGGTTAGGGTAATTAGGCAAGTTATTGTATAACAGTGGTTTATTCTGTAGATTATTGAAAAAAAAAACTTAAAGGGGCTAATAATTTTGTCCCAAAAATGTTTTTTTAAAACATTAAAAACTGCTTTTATTCTAGCCGAAATAAAACAAATAAGACTTTCTCCAGAAGAAAAAAATATTATCAGACATACTGTGAAAATTTCCTTGCTCTGTTAAACATAATTTTGGAAATATTTAAAAAGAAATAAATAAAATCAAAAGGGGGCTAACAATTCTGACTTCAACTGTATATATATAAGTTAATTCTTTTAGCACTAACAATTCCTTTGTACAATTTGCACGTCCTGTGAGTATTGCCTCTTCTTGTTGAATCACTGAATGACTCACTGGACAAAACTGTTAGCTAAATAAATAAACGTAAATGTAGAATCATTTAATTTACATCAAAATGCAATTGAACTTTAAGTGATAAGCTGCGTCTCAAATGGCACACTACTGTATACACTATGCACTTATGCACTTACACACTCAACAGCATAGTATATGTATGTAGTGTCGTCCCAAATGGCACACTTATGTTTTTTTACAAAGCGGAAATTCAAACCGTTTCCCTGATGACGTTTGACGGTTGCCAAATCAGTGAAATAAACGACCAAAGTAAAAAATAATACCTGCCTTCAGTATAGCCGCATTCACCATCAGGAGGCGCTATAATCCCTCTTATAGGAGAATTTTGCTTTCACCATTTAAAATAAATAAAGTTATCCAACATGTGCGCCCGATAGCTCCGCCCCTTCCGCTACGTGAGCAAACCTGCGGTCGTTGAGTGCGTGAAGTGTCCATCATTCCACACTTCATTTTAGCGGCTGAATGAGTGCATCATCCGGGTAATTAAAGTGCACTTATTATTTCTAGAGTTTTCAGTGTGAACACACTACTTACACCATTTATACTACAAAATGGCATAGAATAGTGCATAAGTATGCGATTTGGGACGCAGCTATAGTTTCAACCAAACTGCTTTTTTTTGTTATTATTTTTTGGTGGGTTTTCACCTTTAATGGATAGGACAGTAGAGAGTATTGACAGGAAAGTGTAGGGAGCAGAGAGAGGAGAAGAATCGGCAAAATGTTTTATGGATATTTTTTACGCATTATTGTATTTCCATATACCCTTCTTTCTTTTTCAGGCCACAAAAGAAAACGTTTATTGATTTTTTTTTCACTCACCCATGTTTTTGGCACAGGTTTTTATCCGAAGTGATTTGCTTTGCTTTAAAGATATGCAGCTCATTTGTTGATGCATTCCCTGGCAATCAAACCCACGGCCCGTCAATGCTTTCTTCAAGAGTTCACACTTAGCTGATGATTGATTATAAGCAAGTTTGGCATGCTGTCCCGGGAGAGAGCCCTGAGCTCGAAGGTTCTTGAGCCCTGGGCTCCCTCCCGTTTGGAGGTAGAGAGGGGAGCCTCGAGCTCAGGTAGATCTCGACAACTCCCCTTTTTATAATAGCTAAAGATTAAGATTGAAGGCTATTAAAAGATATGCTGCATTATTAGATTACCTGTATTGAAATTTAGATTTAACGATTAAATTGTTGTACATGTTTTTGGAATGTGGGAGGAAACCGGAGAACCCGGGGAAAACCCACGCAAGCACGGGAAGAACATGCAAACTACACACAGAAACGACCACCGACCTGTTAAGGAACTAGAACCGGTGATGTTCTTGCTGTGAGGCGACAGTGCTAGTCACTGAGCCACCGTGCTGCCCTATGGAGGGAAAGGTGAAAAGGTAGGGGTGGAAGGGGGGATTCTTCAAATCGAAGATGACTGTAGTGAGAAAACCCTGGCTCTTTATAGAGGTTAGGAATGGCCTGATTGGTGGATCAAGCATGCTAATGCAGAACCAGCCGTGTTCAATCATAATCATGTGCTCCCCTCGAAATTAGTTTATGAATAAACTTCACATAGTACCCTTCTGAACAGTCTGAGTGACAGGAATGACACTGCAGTAAAAAAGAAATTAATAACATTTAAAAATCTGCTAAAAGCTCTCAGCTACCAGCCCACATTTGACTAAAGCAGCTCATATTTTAGACAACAGATTATTGACATTACATGTGCCTAAGCAGGTTGTCTTTAATCAGGTTTTTGTTGTTGTGCAGGTGGTGGTTCGAGAACTGCTGACTCAATACACCAAACAGATGGGCAACAACCTGGTGATGGGACTGATCAGAAACTTGACCAGCTCAGCGTCAGACAGCCTTAGAACCAGGTAAGAGATTGATGCATGCATGCATTTGTGAATGCAGGATGCAAATTGTGCAGTGCATGCCTGTGAAAAAAATGCATGAACTGTAATCATGAACGAATTAGACATTAAGGACTTTATTTTGACGGTACATGCGCAAAGTGCAAAGCGCAGGGCGCAAACGCTTTCAGGGCGTGTCAGAATCCACTTTTGCTATTTAAACAGCGTGGCGGAAAACGTCAAAAAGACTCTTGCGCTAAGCTGAAACTAGCAAACAACAATTGCAACAATTGCATCAGGGCTGTTTAGTGTAACGAGTGAGAGATGGTCACTAATGGGTGGGGCTTTCCCCCTCCGACGACACATACAAAGAGAGAATGTCAATCAAAGTGTTTCTCCACCCTGCAGAAAAATCCAGCTTAAACCAGCCTAGGCTGGTTTAAGCTGTTTTTTTCAGCAGGGCAGACTGTTTTTATCAAGTGTAAGTTTAAAAAAAAATAGAGTTAATACATTTTTACTATTAGAAGCTGCTTATATTCACACACTGCTGCCACACAACTGTGTTTAAACCCCTTATAAAGGCGATTTTTACATATACATGATGTATAGCATGCAACTTTTAAGACACTGGACAATTACCTATTTTATGTGCTTATTAATATAAAATGTAAAATAATTTGAATCATTTCTGCACCTTTAATGCTATTCTGGCCACATTTCCAACATTTCTAGCTTAATTCTTCCCATCAGATGGCATTTGTCTGTTGGCTTTGCAATGTAAGATCGTCCAAGCATCTAAAACTTCGTTCCTGAAGAGCCACACACACACAGGCACAGACGTTTCAGCCCTAAGGAACCGGTCTACTCTCACGATTGTGTTTACACTCACAATTAGGTCACTAATTTAGCAATTTTTGCCTGAGAGGAAAATTTGAGAGGTGTAATGATTTTCCGGCCTACTATTCATAACATATTAACCGAAGCAGAGATCTGCAGTCGTCCATCATAGGCTGAATAAAATCAGCTTTTATTTGTCTAGATGTGATTCCGATAGCGGATCTGTGCTTTTTATACAGTATCTCTTTGTCTGAGGGAGTTAATCTGTATTTCTTTTGGCGGTTTCCTTGTTTGTCTAGCTTTCTTGGCTTCAGCGTGGACAAAGTAGGAGACCTAATGTTCTTGCTGAAAGCGGTGCGCTACAGGGAAAGGGTGTTACAGCGCAGTCTAGCGAGTCGACTCTACACTAAGGTCAGTCACTCTTACTATAAATCAATGGAAACAAGGAGTGTTTCCCCTCTGTGTGTTTTACTGATGAGTGAGGAGATCAGTGGCTGTTTTTGAGTAGCTGTGAAATGCTTTAATTGAGCTTTTATTAGCTAATAAGTCTAAAATGTACACATTAAAAGAAAAAAAATGCATTTTATTCATAGTTAATTGTTTTGTTTTTAATTCATTTCCTAATAATAAAAAAAATGTTACTAGCTGCAGTTCACTGAATGGCCACCGGTGTCACTAATAACAAGCGTTTCTGAATTGTTCAGCAAGTCTCTTTAATGATGTAAATGCTTTAATTGAATATTTATTGGGTATAAAGTCTCAAATGTACACATTAAAAGAAAAAAATGCATTTCATTCATAACTAATTGTCATGCTTTTCAAATATTTCCAAATAAAAAAAAATGTTACAAGCTGCAGTTCACTGAACGGCCACCGGTGTCACTAATAACAAGCGTTTCTGAATTGTTCAGCAAGTCTCTTTAATGATGTAAATGCTTTAATTGAATATTTATTGGCTATAAAGTCTCAAATGTACACATTAAAAGAAAAAAGCTTTTTATTCATAACTAATTGTCATGTTTTTCAAATATTTCTAAATAAAAAAATGTTACAAGCTGCAGTTCACTGAACGGCCACCGGTGTCACTAATAACAAGCGTTTCTGAATTGTTCAGCAAGTCTCTTTAATGATGTAAATGCTTTAATTGAATATTTATTGGCTATAAAGTCTCAAATGTACACATTAAAAGAAAAAAGCGGTGCCACCGGTGTCACTAATAACAAGCTTTTCTGAATTGTTTATTGAGACTTTTTAGTGATGTCATCCACATTTCGTGAGTTGTGAGTAGCTGTGAAATACTTTAACCGAACATTTATTGGCTATACTGTCTAAAGTGTTCCCATTAAAGGGGAAAAAAGCATTTTATTAATTAATAATTGTAATTTTTGTCATGTGTTTCCAAATTTGTAATGCCAGTGTGTGGAATTTTGTAACAAAACTGAATTTCAGTGCATTTCATAGTGTATTAACAATCTAAATGTCACAGCGTGGATGTATTTGCTAGCACAACAAAGCTATTTTTAATTTTTTCTTTTTTTTTTTAGCTCTAATCGAAGAACAATAATAAAAAAAATGTTACTAGCTGCAGTTCACTGAATGACCACCGGTGTCATTAATAACAAGCATTTCTAAATTGTTCAGTGAGTTTTGAGTGGCTGTGCAATGCTTTAATTGAACATTTATTGGCTCTAAAGTCTCAAATGTACCCATCAAAGAAAAAATACTTTTTATTCATAATTAATTGTCATTTTGTCGCATATTTCCAAATATTTTTTTTCATTGCCAGTGTGTGGAATTTTGTAACAAATCTTAATTCCAGTGCATCTATTAATGCATTTACAATCTAAATGTCACAGCAAGGATAAGTTTGGTATCAAATCAAGGGTATTTTTTTAGCTTTAATCGAAGAACAATAAAATAAAAAATACGATATTAGCTGCAGTTCACTGAACGGCCACCGGTGTCACTAATAAATATTTCTGAATTGTTGACAGAGCATTTTTTAATGATGTAATCCACATTTTGTGTGTTGTGAGAAGCTGTGAAATGCTTTAATAGACATACTGTGAAAATGTCCTTGCTCTGTTAAACATAATTTGGGAAATATTTAACAAAGGAATAAAAATTCAGTGGGGGAGCTCAAACAGTTGAAGTCAGAATTATTAGCCCCCCTTTGAATTTTTTTTTATTTCTTTTTTTTTAATGTTTCCCAAATGATGTTTAACAGAGCAAGGAAATTTTCACAGTATGTCTGATAATATTTTTTCTTCTGGAGAAAGTCTTATTTGTTTTATTTTAGCTAGAATAAAAGCAGTTTTTAATTTTTAAAAAACTTTTAGGGACAAAATTATTAGCCCCTTTAAGCACATTTTTTTTCTCGATAGTCTACAGAACAAACCATTGTTATATAATAACTTGCCTAATTACCCTAACCTGCCTAGTTAACCTAATTAACCTAGTTAAGCCTTTAAATGTCACTTTAAGCTGTATAGAAGTGTCTTGAAGAATATCTAGTCAAATATTATTTACTGTTATCATGGCAAAGATAAAATAAATCAGTTATTAGAAATGAGGTATTAAAACTTTTATGTTTAGAAATATGTTGAAAAAATCTGCTATCCGTTAAAAGATCTCTTCCCTAGAAATTGGGGGAAAAAAGAAACAGATAAACAAATAAAAATTTCTGTTTTCATGTTGTTGGTTTATTTCCAATATTGAATTAGTCTTTTTGAGAGTGCAATTGGTGATTTAATGTAAATTTGGTGATTTGGTTAATTATTTTGTACATTATTTGTAAACACCACCGTTACAAAAGCATAATGCACTATAAAAAAATATTATATATATATATATATATATATATATATATATATATATATATATATATATATATATATATATATATATATATATATATATATATATATATATATATATATATATCCCTTACAGAGTCATCCCAATCTAAAGTAATTACTATGCACATAGAGCTGTTTAAGTCATCTAGTAAAATTGTATTGAAATCGCAGTATATATCGCAGAGGAATAAAATATCGCAATGTATTGACCTTAAAACTTTTTTTTTTATGGAAAACTGCTTTTATTCTAGCCAAAATAAAACAAATAAGACTTTCTCCAAAAGAAAAAAATATTATCAGACATACTGTAAAAATTTCCCTGCTCTGTTAAACATCATTTAGGAAATATTAAAAAAAGAAAAAACAAAATTCACAGGAGGGCGAATAATTCTGACTTCAAATAAATATGCAAACATTAGATGCACATCAAAATCTGCGTGCTAATGTTCTGACATTGAACAAACATTATATTAGCATTATTGGAAGAACTTTTTTTTGTTCATAGCTTTCAAAGAACCAACCCTGAATTATATCCAAAATTCTCAGAAGGTTTCCTGTTAGCTGCGTTTTAAAATGAGTAATTTTATATAGAATTTTAGCGTTCTTTCCTGACACTAAATCACTTTCAAAGCATTTTGTTTTTCATGTGAACAGGTGGACAAAAACAAAGAGGAGTTCTTCATGGCCTGGAACTCTTGTTTACATCACGTGATCACTTTGGCGATGGCACACATACACCGAGGTGAGATAAAAGAGCATTATGTATAGAGCATGTGCTCTTTATGTTTGAATGAATGTATGCCTATGCATGTGCATTCACATATGACACTGAATTTCAAAGAAAGACTTTTAAGCAAAACATTTCTCAAAAAGTGACTGCAGCTAATGACTTAGAAATGGGAAGTTGCTTCTGAGAAAAACTCCAGCAAGCGTTTCATTGCTGATAACACTTGCTTTAATTATCAGACATTTCAATTTGTGACTTGGTATGTTTTTTTAATACATTTTTATTGACAACTGTAAGTTTATAGCATCATAGTATTAGTCAAATCTCCATTTAAAGAGATTTAAATACTGTACACAATCACTGCTGGATAGTGCTTACGATCACTTTCATTTCAAAGAACTGCCAGATTTACCAAATGCAGATTCAATAACTGCTTGCTCTGTTGGAATATGCATCTAAATGCACTTATACATGTTAGTTAATGAAGAAATTAAAGTTAAATAAAGCCTACCCTTATTGAGTAAATCTTATTTTACAGTTAAAATCCCTAAAGTCTCTATAAAGATCTTGGTTCCTTCCTTCCTTCCTTCCTTCCTTCCTTCCTTCCTTCCTTCCTTCATTCATTCATTCATTCATTTTCCTTCGGCTTAGTCCCTTTATTCATCAGGGGTCGCCACAGCTTAATGGACCACCAACTTATCCAGCATATGTTTTACACAGCGGATGCCCTTCCAGCTGCAATCCAGTACTGGGAAACACCCATACAGTGGGAAATTTAGAGTACCCAATTCCCCTATAGAGCATGTTATTGGACTGTGGGGGAAACCAGAGCACCTGAAGGAAACCCATGCCAACACAGGGAGAACATGCAAACTGCACCACTCCTACTTTTCCTTATTTAACAAGTAAAAAAAGCCACACAATACATTTATGTTGACCCAACTCAAATCGATTAAGTTAACTTAACAGATTTAAGTGAACTGAACTTAAAACAATTAATTTGTTCCAAATAAGGCGAAGCAGTGGCGCAGTAGGTTGTGCTGTTGCCTCACAGCAAGAAGGTTGCTGGTTCGATCCTTGGCTCGGTTGGCGTTTCTGTGTGGAGTTTGCATGTTCTCCCTGCGTTCGCGTGGATTTCCTCTGGGTGCTCCGGTTTCCCTCACAGTCCAAAGACATGCAGTACAGGTGAATAGGGTAGGCTATATAGTCCGTAGTGTATGAGTGTGTGTGTGAATTAGTGTTTGTGGATGTTTCCCAGAGATGGTTTGCGGCTAGAAGGGCATCCGCTGCGTAAAAAAAAAAACGTGCTGGATAAGTTGGCGGTTCATTCCGCTGTGGCAACCCCAGATTAATAAAGGGACTGAGCCGACAAGAAAATGAATGAATGAATGATTGAATGTTCCAAATAAACCTCAAGAATTAAGTTGTTTTAACTAATTTTAAATAAGTAGTTTGAACAAGCAGGAAACATGTTTTTTAAGTGTACCATGTAAAAAATGCTGGGTTCCACACGATTTGTGTTTACTTACTAGTTTTTACAAATTTAAATGGATTAAAAATAAAACAATTAAGTTGTGAAATATTTCTCATGTTAATAATTAAAATGTGGACAAATGCACTTAAAATGTGGACAAATGTAGTTTTAATGTTTTAAGCAAAAAGTTGCCTAAAATAAACTTAAGGATTTATTTTTTGCAAAATAATTTTGACTAATTATCATCCTCCTGTTGCCTCGTTTTGTCGCTAAATGCTACTTTTCCTTATTTAACATTTAAATGCATTCATGTTGACCCAACTCAAATCAATTAAGTTAACTTAACAAATTCTAGAAAATTAATCATAAAACAATTAAGTTGCTCCCAAAAAGTCTCAAGAATTAAGTTGTTTCAACTCATTTTGAATAAGTAGTTTGAACAAACAGAAAACATGTTTTAAAGTTTACCCTGTAAAAAATGCTGGGTTCCACACAATTTTTGTTGGGGCGACATGAAAATATTAAGTTAGCTTTAGTTTTACAAATTTAAGTGGATTGATCATAAAATGATTAAGTTCCTCCAAAAAATCTCAAGAATTGTGTTGTTTTAGCTAATTTTGAATAAGTTTGAACAAACAATAAAAATCTTTTTTTTGAGTGCTTCTCATCTTAAGACAATTTTGAAAAATGTTTTTGATGCACTTTAAATGTGAACAACTATAGTATTGATATTTTAAGCAAAAAGTTGCCTAAAATAAACGTAAGGATTTCTCTTTTGCAAAGTAATTTAGACTAATTAATGTCAGCCTGTTGCCTCGTTTTGTCACTAAATGCTACTTTTCCTTATTTAACATTTAAATGCATTCATGTTGACCCAACTCAAATCAATTAAGTTAACTTAACAAATTTTAGTAAATTGATCATAAAAAAATGAAGTTGCTCTCAAAAAAAATCTCAAGAATTAAGTTGTTTCAACTCATTTTGAAAAAGTAGTTTAAACAAGCAGAAAGCATGTTTTTTTTTTAGTGTTTAGGTTCCACACAATTTGTGTTGGGGCAACATGAAAGAATTAAGTTAACTTTCTAGTTTTTTTTTTTCATTTAAGTGGATTGAACATGAAACAATTAATTTGCCCCCCAAAACCCAAAAATCTCAATAATTAAGTTGTTTCAGTTCGTTTTGAATAAGTTTGAACAAATAATAAACTTCTTTTTTTTTGAGTGCTCCTTCTCATCTTAAGACAATTTTAAAAAGTTTTTGATGCACTTCAAATGTGGACAACTTGTAGTATTGATATTTTAAGCAAAAAGTTGCCTAAAATAAACGTAAGGATTTCTCTTTTGCAAAGTAATTTAGACTAATGAATGTCAGCCTGCTGCCTCGTTTTGTCACTAAATGCTACTTTTCCTTATTTAATATTTAGATGTTAAAAATGCCTCACAATTCACTCATGTTGACCCAACTCAAAATCGATTAAATTAACTTAACATTTTTAAGTGAATTGATCTTAAACATGTTTTTTGAGTGTACCGTGAAAAAAAATACTGGGTTCCACACAATTTGTGTTGGGGCAACATATAAGAATTAAGTTAACTTACTAGTTTTTATAAATTTAAGTGGATTGAACATGAAACAATTAATTTGCCCCCCAAAAGTCTCAATAATTAAGTTGTTTCAGCTCATTTTGAATAAGTTTGAACAATTAACAAACATCTTTTTTTTTTTGAGTGCTCCTTCTCATCTTAAGGCAATTTTAAAAAATGTTTTTGATGCACTTCAAATGTGGAAAACTTGTAGTATTGATATTTTAATCAAAAAGTTGCCTAAAATAACCGTAAGGATTTCTCTTTTTTCAAAGTAATTTAGACTAATTAACGTCCTCCTGTTGCCTCGTTTTGTCACTAAATGCTACTTTTCCTTATTTAATTCCTTTTTAATATTTAAATGTGCACTAAAAAATGCCACACAATACATTAATGTTGACCCAACACAAATCAATTAAGTAAACAAAATATTTAAGTGGATTGAACTTAAAACAATTAAGTTGCCCCATAAAAACTCAAGAATTAAGTTGTTTCAACTCATTTTGAAAAAGTAGTTTGAGCAAACAGAAAAGATGTTTTTTGAGTGTACCGTGAAAAAAATGCCACACAATATATTCATGTTGACCCAACTCAAACAGATTGTCAACTTAACAAATTGAAGTGAATTGAACATAAAATAATTAAGTTGCCCCCCCCCCCCCAAAAAAAAACTCAATTTAAATAAGTAGTTTGAACAAACAGAAAAAAAATATATATTTTTGAGTGTCCCCTGAAACAAAAGCATTTTTATTAGCATGTGCATGTTGAAACAGTGTGAGTTTGTCTGAAGCAGGTGATTCATGTACACTATAAACACAGTGCCCATCTTTGATCATTAAAGACACTGTTTAACTTCTGATTCGCGCAAGTGTTGTGCAGCCTCAGCCTCTGATGTTCGCGAGTATTTCCACATGCTCAGTGTATGTGTGCAGGGGTTTGTGTGTCAAGATATATTTTCCTCCCCTGATAGCAAATTTCCATTCTCTCACCCTCCTCCCACACACTTACACACAGACACACACACACACACACACACGCTAATTTTCTCTGAGATGGAGCTGATAACATTGAGAAGAGGGGCTTTTACTCACATTCGTTTGCACTTTTAGTTATGATTTTGACACTGAGTAATAATCGTAGCGGTTACAGATCACAGAATATATATACGTATAACACTGCGCAATGCATGAAAAATGCAGTGTAATGAAATATATTGCTGTCCATTCAATGTATGGTATAAATTCTGCACAAAAAAACAAACAGCCATGCTTTTTCAATTTATTGTTGTCAAAAAGTTGCTTTAAAGGTCCAATGAAAATAAAATAAAGTTTTTTTTTTAGATGTTAGTATCAGTATTGCTAGTTTTTAAGATATCTATAAGCTAGTGTGCTCCAAAACAATGACAAAATTAGCATTTAGAAGATATAAAACTGATATAAACATGCTTCTCATCAAATGATATGTTTATGATCAAATCTTGACCAATCAAATGCTTTCCTGTATCTGACAAGCCCCGCCCCCTTCAAGACGCTTCCTATTTGCTTTTCAATTGCTTCACTGGCAGAGCAGTGAAAAAAATAGAACGCTATTGGCCGTTTTAAAAAAGGAGAGGAGCTACTCTTTATTCCACCCTCTTTTTGGCTGCGTCCGAAATCGCCTGCTACTGAAGTAGGTACTGCATTTGAATGTAAATATACTATTCAGACGGTGGAAAAGTACATACTATGCAGTATGAGTGTCAGCAGTATGAATGGAACTCGGATGAACTACATCCACCATTTTGTCCTCATCACGTGACCAACTCGCGTCAGTTGCATCGCTTCATTCCCATTTATGAATTCTCTCATGGTGCATCATTGAATAGCGTAGCATCCCTCCGATGCACACTTCAGAATTTCACCAGAAGTAGTAGGTCATCTTTGTAAGTTGCTTTAAAGGTTCCATGAAATTAATATAAAGGTTTTTTTTAGATGTTTGTATCAGTATTGCTAGTTTTTTAAGATATCTATAAGCTAGTGTGCTCCAAAACAGTGGCAAAATTTAAAAGATATAAAACTGATATGAACATGATATAAACATGTTTCTAATCAAATCTTGACCAATCAGAGACTCTCTAGTATCTGACAAGCCACACCCCCTCCAAGAGGCTTCTTATTTGCTTTTCGTTTGATGCACATGAGCTCAACCACTCACATTGGCAGAGCAGTTATAAAAACAGAACGTCATTGGCAGATTTAAAAAAAGGGGAGGAGCTACTGTAAGTCCCACCCTCTCTTTGGCTGCATCCGAAATCACCTACTGAACTACTCAGTACTGCATTTGAATTTACTACTCAGATGTTATTAAAGTACGTACTATACAGTATGAATGTGAGCAGTATGAATGGAAATCGGACGTAATACATCTGCCATTTTGTCATGATCATGTCAGTTGCGTCGCTTGACTCCCATTCATAAATTCTCTCGCGGTGCATCATGGGATAGCGTAGCATCCCTTCGATGCACACTTCAGAATCTCACCAGAAGTAGTAGGTCTTCCGGGTACTACTCACGTACTGTTTTTAGAATACTATGAATTCAGACATACTTCTCGGCTCACATACTGTTTTTAGCTCACTATGTAGTATGCAAGTCTGCGATTTCAGACGTAGCTTTTGTGTTTCAGTTGAGATTACGTCAAACATTGAATAAAAATTTCAATGTGCTTCTTGGGACTTATAAAGGATATATTTCATTCATTCATTCATTTTCCTTAGGCTTAGTCCTGTTATTCATCAGGAGTCACCACAACGGAATGAACCGCCAACTTATCCAGCATATGTTTTACACAGCGGATGCCCTTCCAGCTGCATTCACTAATTTTTCTTCAGCTTAGTCGCTTTATTTTTCAGGGGTTGCCTCTGCGGAATGAACCGCCAACTTATCCAGCATATGCTTTAAGCAGCGCATGCCCTTCCAGCTGCAACCCTGTACTGGGAAACACCCATACACTCTCATTGACACACAAACACTAGGGCCAGTTTAGTTCATCCAATTCACCCAAAGCGCATACCAACTGACCCAGCTGGGATTCAAACCAGCGACCTTCTTGCTGTGACATTGCTAACCACTAAGCCGCCCCTCATTCATATCATGGGCAATTAAATTTCTCTTAATCTTTTGAGAAGATAAAAAATGAATGCACTAAAAAAAGGGGAAAAAAAGGATTCAAGATATGATCAGAAAAGGGAATTAGAACGATAGCAGACTTGTATGTTAACAATATTCTAATGTCATTCGAGGAAATTGTTAGTAAATATAATATTCCTGCAAAACATTTCTTTAAGTATTTACTAGGGATGTAACGGTATCAGAATTTCACGGTACGATTATACCTCGGTATGAATGGCACGGTACGGTATTTATTGAATAATTTACAGGAAAAACAAAACTAATGAAAAGACTTGAAAAAAGTGCCAAAAGTGTTTATTTACCTTAGCACTGAACATATCAATGACATACAAATTAGCCATCTATCTGTAAGTTTCGAAACAGGAACTTCAATTTTTCAATTTTAATAACAAAAAACTATTAAACCATATAAAAACAATAAAGTTTCAATTTAGTATTGTTGAAAACTCATCACATTCAACATTTAATCACTCACTCACTTAGATAGAGATGGGTTTTAAAGGAAAATGATCATATAACTATAATCTGGTAAAAGCTGGGATCTCTGGGCATGTCCCCTGCAATAGAAAAAAACCCTCTCATTTGGGACTGAGGTTTCTGGGACAGAGAGATATGATTTAGCCAAGGTTGACAGCAGTGGGTAACGTTGTGCATTGTCTTTCCACCACTTGAGAGGACAAGCCATGAGTGAGATAGAGGTCTCTTTGGGGTACAAGTCAATGTCTGCATCAATCTAACAAGTGTGCTGTGTTCTGCAGTCCCCATGACTGTTTTTAGTTGTATTCCCCGACTTATATTTCACCACAGTCTGGCAGTGCCTGCATACTGTTTTTTTCTTTGTCTGTCACCTTTTCTCCTTTTTCGTATCTTTTTAGAAAGAAACCGAAATGCTTCCACACATCCGATTTAAAACCCGCTTTAGGTTCGATAATTTCCAGATCTTTTTCTTCCCCGCTACTAGCAGCACACTCCATTTCCGCATTACTGGATCTGTAGTGACAACAGACCGCAAAGGATGATGGCCATGCCTGGGCTGATAGAAATTGTAGTTCCCGCTACCTCCCGTTCGCTTCATTCGCCTAAGCAAACTTTTCTCAGTAATATAGTTTTATTGAGTCATGCGCCCACGGTAATATTGAAAAAAATTACTATTGCAGTATGATGGTATTTACAATATTACTACATCCCTAGTATTTACAAATACAAGATTTTATCTTTAAATCACAAAATAATTCTCTAGATATGATATCATTGTTTATTTTGGAAAAAGTAATAACAAAAGACTGTTTTAGTGAAGGTTTAATTTCTGCATTATACAAGATGCTGGTGTCAGGATCAAAGGAATCTTCAAATTGTAAACTGGAAGCTTGGAGATTAAATCTTGAGGAGAATATTTCTATAGAGGACTGGATGAAGATGTGCGAGGAAGCTCAATCACTAACAATGAACACTCGTCTGAAACTGTTACAATATAAATGGTTGATGAGGATTTACATAACTCCAGTTTTATTGGATAAATATAATGAAAATATTCCAGATACTTGCTTGAGATGCAGGGACCATGAAGGAACGTTGTGTCACTGTATATGGGAATGTAAAGGAATACAGAACTTTTGGAAAGGTGTGAAAGAAATTATAGAAAATATTCCTGAGGTTAATCTACCCATTGAATGTTACGTGTTTATGATGTTAAATAATAAAAGGGATGATACGTAACAATCAGTGAGTCTATTGATGCTGGGTGAATGAGGAGAAGACACATACGCTTGATAAGTGAAACAAAAAGTAAGTATTTATAAATGGATAATGTCAAACAATGAATATGAGATGGAAGATAATGTAATTTTAAATAATTGAATTAAATAAAGAAAAATAGGAGTGTTGCCAAAACAAAGAAATAAATATAACAAAACAATCTAACTAAACCCCAACCCACTAAACTGACTGAACAAAGAAAAATGCACAAACAAAACCGTAATCTTCAGCACGTAGCTGAACTAAACTTCATAACTCCCAAACATAATTACACATGTGGCAACGCCTCCAAAACTAATACAAAATTATACTAAGCCTCTCGAAATGCTAGAATTCTCGTAAAGTACACACTATTAGCCATTAGCAAAACAAGATCTCAGGTAATCCAATTCTCATAAAGATCATTCAAAATCTCACTATACATTAACAAGAGCAGCACAAGTTTAACTGAAAAATCAATATCAACAGAGAGAAAACTAGCGGAACAAAGCGGAACAAACAAATAAACAGTCCGGCCGACACAAGTGAGGAGATTGGCAGGCCAAACGCTCCTCCAGAACAGCGCAAGCGCACCGGTTTTATACTGCGCGGACCCGATCCTTATTGGCGTGCCGATTGAGTGACGAAGGTGATTGACAGCTCACTCGACCAATGGTAGCACACCTGAAACAGGATAGGACCACAACAAGAGAGAGAAAGAAGAGAGAAGAGCGCAAAGCAGAAAACAACAAAAATACCACAAAACATATACGTGAAACGTAACAGTCTCCTTTAATTTTTTTATTTCATGTATATCCCAAGGAGATCAAGTTAAAAAAGACGGAGCAGATATTTTTGAATATATGTATGCCACAAGCGAAACAGCTTATTTCTTTAAATTGGAAAAGTATATGTGCACCAACTATAGGCTGTTGGCTGAAAGAGATGGTAACAAACATGAAAATGGAAAAAAATAACTTATATGATAAGAAATAGATGCATAGTTTTTAATAGAGTTCGGGGACCTTTTACGTCAGGGGTGTCAAACTCAATTCCTGGAGGGCCGAAGCCCTGCACAGTTTAGTTCCAACCCTGCTCCAACACATTTACCTGTAGGTTTCAAACAAGCCTGAAGGACTCAATTAGTTTGATCAGGTGTGTTTAATTAGGGTTGGAACTAAACTGTGCAGAGCTGCGGCCCTTTTGGAACTGAGTTTGACACCTGTGCTTTACGGTGTTTTTAAAAGGTGGTGGATTTGGAAATGTTTTACTAGATTAGTAATAGAGGGGATATTGTATTCTGATGTAAAATGCTGAGAAGCCTTTTGTTTGGTTTTGTTTGTTCATTTGTTGGTTTGTGTTGGATCTGACACATGGAAATGTGCATGTACATGTTACTAAAATATAATAAAAAGGAATTGGAAAAAAAAAAAGAGACGCATCTTGTGTTTTTGGTGCATTTTGCATGGTGCACATTTAAAATGTGGTTACTTGAATGGTAAATATGGCTTTGTTTTATATTGTTTTAGTTTATATCCCTCTTTCAAGTAGATACAAATATTGACTACATACAAAAAATTCTGCCTGGGGTGAAGCATCAAAGCCCTGCTTCTCATTTCACATGTGAAAGAAGTGTTCTTTAAAAGCCACAGGACATTTTATTTGTGAAAAAAAGTGAAAAATAGTAACAAAAACAAATTGTCTCTATTATTAGCCATTGATAACTTCAGGGGGGAAAATAATCAGAATTGAACTTATTTTTGTTCTGCAGTGACCTTGGAGCAGTTTGCTCTCGCCGTTCAAGACTGCCAAATCAAAGAGGACCGTGCATTGCTTAGCAAGGTATGTGTGAAGCTCTGCTTCTCTTTTTGTCTTTTGACGCATCAAATGGTTCCAATGGAAAGTTCTCAGAAACAACAACAACAGCCTCGTGCCCACTCAAAAAACAATAAGCTCAGCTTCTCAGCGTCTTAGGGAGTTTTCAGAGGATTCCACTCTTGACCACGTGTTTGGAAAATAAAAAAAATTGCATCTTTTATGTCTTTTTTATGGTTACTGCGCCTGCTGAGACAGACGGCTAAATTAGTGTAAAGAGCCAAAATAATACAGGGCGTCAGCGGGGTCTTAACCCTTGTGTGTGCCGGGGAGGTTTTCATCCACTCTGAGGTGATTTTCAGTCTTAATTTGGACACAACTTTCAGCAAATGAAATGATTTTTGCAGAATAATCTTATTTTGACACATATTTATTAGGTGTGTAACGATACACTCAGCTCACGATACGATGTGTATCACGATATAATGTTCACGATTCGATATGTATCACGATATTTGGAATAAAAATTGAAAATTAAACTGAAATGCACATTTTACCAAGTAAACTATTTTTTATGTATTTCTTTTGTTTCAACTTGTTAAACTGAACCTTCTTTAAGAAAATAAATTAAACAGGCCTGTCTCTGGAAAATAAAACAATTTAAAAACTTCTTAAAAATATTATTGAAATGACAGAGACAAAATTAAGGAACAATTTAAGTAAAGGTGCAAAAAAAAAAAGCTTTCTATTTAATTGAATTTAACAGTAAGAGCTTAAGGCTTTGCTTGGTCACTTGCGTTTTTTGTGTGTGCAAAAAAAAATCCACATTTCCAGGCATTTAATTCATATTTAATTAAATTCATTTAGAGATATCTCTAATTACAATTGTGACTAGTCAAAACTCATTTAGAGATATCTGCAAATATTTTTCAATGGAAGTCAATGGAGGAATATGACTAGTCATAATATATTTGCAGATATCTCCAATCTGATTTCGTACTAGTACAATTGTAATTGCAGATATCTCTAAATGTCATTCTGACTAGTCGAATTATAATTATGACTAGTCAAAATATAATTAGAGATATCTCTAAATATATTTATGGATAGTCAGAACAAAGGTTTAAATGCTAAAACGGCTTGCCATACGCGCGCGTCTATCAAAGTCCGCCCTCTGTAGTAACAGCTCACGTCATGTGTGATTTTGCGTCCGCCAATACATCATTATATGAAGACAGAATGATATTTTAGGGTGAATTGTACCTTATAAATACAGTCTGTGACTCTTTCAACACCCTTAGAAGGTTTCCATGTCACTGTGCAAAGTATGTAAATCACTGTGAAGACTTTATAACTTAGGCTATGTTTGACCAGTATGCGTGTCAAAAAGCGGACGAGTCTAAAGCAATGACTGTACAACTGAAATGTTGCCAGACGTCTGATTTTGAGAGGATGGGCCATCCTCTATTTCAGCTCCACTCATCTGGGTCTGCTAACATTACTGCTGCTGCAATCTGAACTCACGTGCGACAGCAGGTGGAACGTAGCTCACGTGCAAACAGCTCAACTAATAAGAGAAAACGGACGTCATATCGTAATCAAATCGTCATAACGCCACGATGGATATTGTGACATTTTGGCATCGCAATAAATCGTACAACGATAAATTGTTACACCCCTAATATTTATACATCGTCACATACATTTTTTTAAAACTCAACACTCAAAACACTCTGGGAAAATTGACTACATTTGCTGTTTTGCTCCATTGACTGCTATTATAATGACTTTTTTTGATTGCAAAGCCATGATACGATATAATCATGCATTCTTGATTGTTGCTTTTTTCTGTTGTGAAGTTCATCAGACAACAATGCAAAAAAGCTTTAGGGTTTAAAAAGTCTTAAATTCACTGAAATATTGTCTTGTAGGTCTGACATCATTTTAAACAGGTCTCAATTTTTCTGTCTATGTAAAGCAGGGGAGTCCAAACTCGGTCCTGGAGGGCCAGTGTCCTAGAGAGTTTAGCTACAACCCTAATCAAACACACCTGAACCAGCTAATCAAGCTCTTAATAGACGTAGGCTGCGTCCAAAAATGCATACTTCCATACTATATAGTATTCTAAAATCAGTATGCGAGCCGAGTAGTATGTCCGAATTCATAGAATGTGAGAAGTACCTGGATGACTTACTACTTCCGGCAAGATTCTGGAGTGCACATCCCATGCACGCTGCGCTATCCCATAATGCTCCCCGAGAGAATTCATGAAAGGAAGTATAGCGACGCAACTGATGCAGGTAGGTCACGTTACATGACAAAATGGCGGATGTAGTACGTCCGAATTCCATTCATACTTTTCACATTCATACTGTATAGAATGTACTTTTCTAACGTCCGAGTAGTACGTTTAAATTCAAATGTAGTACCTACTGAGTATTAGGCGGTTTCGGACGCAGCCATAATAGAAACTTTCTGGCAGGTGTGTTGAAGGGTGTTGGAGCTAAACTCAGTAGGACACTGACCCTCCAGGACCGAGTTTGGACATCACTGATGTAAAGCTACCCAATTGGGCCAACACCCCCATCCAATCAGCAACAATCCATCTCAATAAAACTTTGAACAAATCTCTATTTATAACTAATCTTTGCCCAGCACTAATTATAATCTTAATCACTATTCATTGCCCTCAAAATAAACGTCTGTTTACACTCACCGGCCACTTTATTAGGTATACTTTTTCTAGTACAGAGTTGGACCCCTTTTGCCTTCAAAACTGCCTTTGTCCTTAATGGCATTGATTCAACAAGCTACTGGAAATATTGTTCAGAGATTTTGTTTCATATTGACATGATAGCATCACGCAGTTGCTGCAGCCTGGACCAATAATACAAGGCAGGATGGATTCATGCTTTCATGTTGTTGATGCCAAATTCTGACCCGACCATCCGAATTTTGCAGCAGAAATAGAGACTCATCAGAGCAGGCAACGAATCTCCAATCTTCTATTGTCTAATCTTGGTGCGTCTATGTGAATTGTAGCCTCAGTTTCCTGTTCTTAGCTGACAGGAGTGGCACCCGTTGTGGTCTTCTGCTGCTGTAGCCCATCCACCTCAAGGTTGGATGTGTTGTGCGTTCAGAGATGCTCTACTGCAGACCTCGGTTGTAACGAGTGCTTATTTGAGTTACTGTTGTCTTTCAATCAGCTGGAACCAGTCTGGCCATTCTCCTCTTGCATCAACAAGGCATTTGCGCCCACAGAACGGCCGCTCACTGGATATTTTCTCTTTTTTGGACCATTCTCTGTAAACCCTATTCTGATGCTCGATTTGAACTGCAGCTGATCGTTTTGACCATGTCTACATGCCTTAATGCATTGAGTTGTTGCCACGTGATTGGCTGATTAGAAATGAACAATTATTATAGACTAATTGATGCTAATTGATGTCTGTGCGGTAAGGTTTCCCTATCCACGAGAGCAAAAGCGAAAGTGAACTTACTTTACGTCATGTTAATATCAATGCGCTTATGGCGCGAAGCAGCTGGCTTTAAAAGGGAATGGGAGATGAGACTCTGATTGGTTTAATCTCAAAACACACCAATAACTCATTAAGAAAATAAACTCAACCCTTTTAGACCATGCGCCACGGCGCAAAGAGGATTTTCCCGTCCTTAAGTTAGCAAAAATGCGTTCTGACACGCTCTGAAAGCGTTTGCGCCCTGCGTTTTGCGCTCTGCGCATGGACCGACAAAATAGAGCCCTCAGTGTCAGTTTAAAAGAGATATAAAACATTAATGTGGTATTTTGAGCTGAAACACACACACACACACACACACACACACACACTCTACTATAAGGACATCAGAGACATATTTTACCCCTTTAAAAAAACAACCAACATACAAAATAACATACAAAGTAACCAACATACAATACTCATGCAACCACGCAGTAACACTTAAGAAGTGTCTAGTGAATCTGGTGTGTATTCAGGTATGTAATTGGTTGCCGTTGCTATATCACTTGTATCAATAAGAAGCTTCATACATGCCCTCTGTTAAACATTAATGCCAATCTGCCATGTCAATTCAGTTCAATTCATCGTTATTTCTCGAGCACTTTTACAATATAGATTGTGTCAAAGCAGCTTAACATAGAAAATCTAGTAAGCTGAAGCTGTGTCAGTCCAGTCAGAGTTGAAGTTCAGTTTAGTTCAGTTCAGTGTGGTTTAATATACACTGCTGAAAGTCCAAACACTAAAGAGCAAATCCATCACTGCACAGCAACACTAGTTCCAAACCAAGCAAGCCAGTGGTGACAGTGGAACAAAACTTCAGCAATTGACGAAAGTGAAGGAAAAAAAGCCAATGGAGCATAACCGTACGTTCACACCGAAAGCAGCCAAAACTCGCTACATTGATCTCGTATTTAAAATAGCCGTTGCAGCATACATTACATTCCTGCATAAAACATGTTTCTAGCGTGAAAATGTTGCGCACTTCTTATCAAATTCATATAAAAATGGACGATCAAGTTGCGTGTGGTGTGGCTTTGCTCTATTTATCCAATATGTGTCCATATGTCTGTTTTGTACTGTCATGTCGCGTGAGATTCTTGCTTTTTAAAGATAAATATATAACATTAATGCACATCAGTAACTCGCCTGTAACTTATTTAATGCATGTTCCTGTAAGAAAACATTGTAAATAATTGGAAATCCGGCAACCGCAATAATCAAACCCTTGGAAATAACTGTGGTCAGAACCAAAGTTCACAGGTCTGTGTCCTCTGAACTTCTATCAAGCGGTGGACGTCTTCATTCTGATTGCTTGCCGCCAAACCGCGTCATTGCTCATTACCATAAAGTTGACTTGGTTTCAACTCTCCTCAACGCCCACGACAGCGAAGACGCGCCACGCTGCTCCTCGCCGCCGGCTCTCATTAAAAATGAATGACTTCCGGCTACTTTGACGCTCTCAGCGCTTTCGGTGTGAACGTACGGTAACAAAAGAACAACTTAGGCTGC